CCCCAAAACCCCAAAACCCCAAAACCCCAAAACCCCTTTTCACGCTTAAAATCTCTTAAATTCTAAATATGAAAACTAGCCTTTAGACTATTTCAAATCGACAAATTAACAGCCTGCTTTGGCCTCTTATAGTACATAGAGGTATGAGAACTGGGGGTTTTGGAGTAAATGGCCTGTCTAAGTGGCCTGAGAGGGGACATTGAGTTTTGGAAGGGGGTCAAGCAGGGATTTGGGGAAGCTGGGTGGGATAGAGGGTGTGAGAGGCCCCTGAGGGGTGCTTTGGAGGGGCCTGAGGGGTACTGGAGGGTGGATTTAGGATCTTTGGGGTTTTGGGTTTTTTGGAATTTGAAATTTATGAGTTTTAGAGGGGATTTTAGAGGGTTTAGATTGTTTTTATCGGCTTTTGTGAGTGTGTTACTGAAGAAACATGATTTTGTGATATTTGTTTGTGGCAAAGAAGCTTTAGTCTTCTGTAAATTTTATACTACTATTTCACCTTTATTCTGAAAATTTTCATTTTTCTTTTCTGTTGTTTCTTATTCTTCGCCTTCCTTGATTTGACTGTATTTGTAGCTGTATCCTTAGTCACTTCATCTCCCTCAAGCTCAGTACGATCAAGATGAAACAATCTAAAAACAAAGGGACATAAGACACTTTCAGAGATCTGAAACGAATAAATCTCTAGTTATCATACCTTTTCAAAGTTTCATTGATATCCTTATGTCGATTGATCTTTTTCATCTTGACTCGTTTCTCTCCAGTAAGTTTATTCCTGGTTCTTCTCTTGCTCAAATCCAGAGGAATCTCTCTGATATGGAGCTTTGTCATCATCTTTATCTTATTAGGTTCCCTCCTCTTCTTAAATTTTGATCTAAAATTATTGTTAAAGACATACAAGCGAATGGAAATCTGGTTGCTTGGGTCTGAATCAAATTTACTCCAGTTATCCTTCTACATAGATCAGAGGGCAAATTTTTACTCTTGAGGAGTCTCCTTTGCTGTAAAATCTTTTGTTGGTCAATCTCATACCTCTGGTCTTGCTCAGGATACCTATTCTTCGAGTAGAGTCATTGGCCTCTTCTGAAAAAGAGTTTAGAGTATCTCTGAGGCTCTACATAATTAACCTGTAAATTTAGTAATAAAATTCTGAAATCAGTTCAAAGATCATGTCTGCTCAATACAACTTAGTTTAACAAATCCTGAGAGTGTTGTTGGTCGCTTACCTCTACAGTATTTTCTGCTTGATTATCACATGTTATCCCAACCTTAATAACCTCATTCATTAGATTCGGCGATTTTTCTATATTAGTTGTTAAATTTGTAGCATAACCTAACTGATAAACGAATAATAAGAACCCAGAATGAATGAAAGAACGATTTAAGACATCAAGAACACCAGAAATTACAAAATGAGAATGGCGTAAAAACATTTGGGTGACATACCTCCTCAAATCTCCATTTCTTATTCAAGAATCTTAACTATTTTATAACAAAACTTCACCACTAGAAATACTTCAAGGGGTTTTGGGGTTTTGGGGTTTTGGGG